GAAAGTGGGTCAATTTTTATAATAAAGTTTGAATAGGATCGCTTTTTGAGAATAAAATTTGGAATGAGTTTATTTAAAAATTTTCTTCTATAGAGAATATTTCCTTCTAATTATCAATTTATTACACAAAATAGTAGAGAATATTGTCAGAAAAAAATAGAGAACATTGAGAGATGAAAGCATATTTACAAAATTGAGAAATTAAAGAGGGGCATGGTTAAATAAAAAATGACAATGATCTCAACCCGCTGCACGAGAATCATGGCGCATGAGCTAGTGTGCCGCACAACCTTTAAAAAAAATCTTTTAAAAAGATTCTTCACAGTCCAGAGAGAATGTTCTAAAAATTAGTAATCATTATAGAGATGAACTATATTATAATGTGAAAGAGGATGAAGTTGAAGAGAGAAACATTATATAAGGGCGATGGAGTTCAAACAGAGCGCAACACAACACCACCACCAGCAGCAAATTAGAAAAGATCTCAAATTCAATTCATTAGGCAAGTAAAACAAAGTCGAAATCTTATTCTCATCAAAAACAAAAAACAAAGTCCAACGATATAGCTACAGCAACATTCGAGGCTAATTTCTCCACCACAATAAAAACACATATAAATCTCAAGAACAGTTGACTTGAGACTGAACAGGCCTCAGATCAAATTGATGATCCCAAGCGTACTTAAACTTCACAGGATTATCTTGAAACACTGGCAGACCGTTGTTGATAATGCAGCGGCTACCCTCCACTTTGAATACGTTAGGGTCGACAGGTTCGGTAGTCTTAAACCCGTCGCATGATACGTATAACGACGATTGGGAACAGATGCAGTCGTTGCTCAGTGTAACCTCGTACTCTATCTTCCCTTGAACCAACACGCCGGTTGAAGATTGAGAGAGCTTGATGCTTGAGATGTTGCATTCACCGAAAGCTACGTACACGCGAAATATAAAATGGTTAGCTTATGGTGAAATTGTATTATGAGATTAAATGGAAAAAAAAAGAGAAGAAGAAAGAGACCTCCACGTGAGAAGTAAAGAATGGCAAGGGACAGGCAGGAGAGCTTGAGTATGGTAGACATATTGCCTTGTTTGTGAAGATGTAAATTTTCTTTGGTCGTAATGAGAGAGTGATACGGGAATAGTGGGTATTTATAGAAGAACTAAGAAATCAAGTATTTTGAGAAGGTTATTAACTATTTGATTTCCTTCCTAATGTTTTTATTTTTATTTTCAAATGTAAGCTTTCCTGAAGGTTTGAGTACATTCCCTCTTTGGATCCTATTTAGAAAAGGAAACATGCGCAAGAAAAAAAATATGGGAACTCATTAATAGTTTGATCTTTTTAGTTATTTGCATATTCATAATTTCCTTATTTCGAATACGACACTGTTTTTAGGTACATTCCTCCTTTTTAATGAGTGCGCTACACAAGGAAAATATATAAAAATAAATGATGATCTGTAGATGTCTGCATTTAACATTTTTACTTATTATAATGTATGAGCATCACGTACCCAAGGTTTATACAAAGGGGCTGTTTGGTTGGCTATTATAAGTGGTGAAAAACTCAGAAAACCCCTCCACGTCAGATTTTTAGCCCTCCACGTTAGCTTTTTTGTTTCCGTCCATTTCTTTGTGCCGCTTTGGTTCGCTCGAATGGAAGAGGGAAAACTCTGCTGAAATCGCCGACAACTAAGATTTTTTTTCCTCTCCGATTTCCTTCCCCAACCAAGTGAAATTAATGAAAACTCTGCTACGTCGGATTTTTTTCCTTCTCTGCTTTGTTTACAAATTTTTTTTTTTTTTTGCTATGCGAACCAAACACAAGAAAAATAAATACATTGGTTTCCCACCATTTTTTATGTGCGAACCAAAGCAAAACAATCTATTTCTTGAAAAAGTTTGGAAAACTCAAAACTTGTGTTTCTTAACATGGAATTGCATTTCTCTATATCAAGGAAACGAACCAAACAGCCCCAAAGCACAAGAATTTAAGTAAAGTCTCTTTAATTTTAGAATGTAAAAGAAGTAGAAAATTTTTCTTAATTTGACTCTCTGATTGTGATAATTTGGCCTTACTTTCATCATTTAAAATTTTTAAACATCTATCTTTTAGACTATACATTATAGTACAATAATATAACAATATTCAAAATTAACCAAGAAACCCTAAGACCTAATGAATTCCTAACACTAGGATATTTTCAAATAACGCCATAAAAAATATTTACTCTACACTCATTATAACATAATAAAATTTATTCTACACTCACTATAATAATAAAATTTGATCATATTTTCTCCGTGAAATTTATTGCGCCAGAAGAAGCTTTCATATTTTCACTGAAAAGCTCTAAGCAAAACTTGGAAAAAAATTTATGATTGATGGAAATATAACAAAAAAACAGTGGAAATGTCATATATAGGAAATCTAGGATTGGGGACATTATTGTAAAAATAAGACCAATTCTTCTAATATCAACATGAGACAATAACATATTATCAAAAACAGAAAATATAAGATAGTATTGTTTGATCCATGACCCAGATAGCCTGGCATTTGCGGCTAGGTCTTGGCCTTCTTAGCCCATAGGCCCATTTCCAAGTCTTTTCAAGGTAAACCACTGGAGGTGAGTATTTTCAGCTAAAACTAGAGTCAGTTGGGCAATTTATGAACTAAACCATATTAGTGCTACTCTAGTTATTTTTATTTTATTTATAGAACTAGTCTTATGTTAAACTTAGTTTGACTATTTTTCAATTAAAGCTGACTTAGAACTCGTGTTATGCTATTTTTCATAGGATTGAATTTCAATTTATACTTGCCCATCGCGGTGACCGAGACGGTTGGGAGGTTCCAATACGGCCCTCATGGTCTTGAGTTTGTTTGGCTTTCGTTTTTCTTCTCACAATTTTTTTTCTTCAAATGAAACATAGTCTTGATTAGTTCAGCCAGCACCTCCTTAGATTGGTTGCTGTCTGATTATTGACCAAATTCAGGCCAGATTAAAACTGAATTAGGTCCACATAGTGAAGTTGCGGAACCAAGGGGGTGTTTGTTTAGTTGTAAGTGAGTTGAAAGGATGAAAGTGACTTTTTTTTTTAAGTGGGTTAATGCATCCAAGTCAGCATACAATTGACCTACATTGTTTGTTTACAAAAACTATTTATTGTTGAAAGTAGAAAAATGAGGATGATGTGGCAACATTATTTTAATTTAATTATATATTAAAAATCATGTTTTTATATAAATTGTTTTGGCAACATTATTTTAATTTAATTATATATTAAAAATCATGTTTTTATATAAATTGTTTCCCATCTCTATTTATCATTTTGATATTAAAAATCATGTTTTTATATAAATTGTTTCCCATCTCTATTTATCATTTTGAAGCATATCCATTTTGTTCTCTTGCGGCTCACTTCTGCGGTTTTATAGGGGAAGTTGAACTTGCAAAAAAATCCTATGTGGATTCTTTTTTGATGTCACTTTCATAATCACTTTCAATAAAACAAACAAGTTAAATCTAAAAAATAAATGACTTTCATACTTACAATTTTCACTTACACCTAAACAAACACCCCACAAGGTTATGTAACTTGTATCAAAATTGATCTCAGTAAATCTGGTCTAGTTTTGCAGCTAAACTGATCCCTGGGATCTGAAACAGATTGGTTGGTTTTCAATTGCTATGGAGTCGTGATGCCCTCTCATTCTCTCAACAAACTTGTTCTGTTTTACTTGATGCTGTGCTGTTTATCGTTCCTCTCTTTTGTGCAGAGAAACTATATGATTTCTCACTCTTAAAAAAAACCCAAAACCTGAATCTATTCATCTTTTTCATGTCCCATGCTTCTGATGCATGATCTTTTCTCGTGACAAATTTCTATGAACAGCCGAAAATATTTAAAACAAGACGAAGCAATTTGAAGAGTTAGAGAGGCTCCCATCAATATCATGGAGAGATAATATTCAGAAATACATCAGCTCAAGGAATACGTTATCAGAGAGTGGGTGGGCATCTTGCATCAGGCAGCAAACTCATGCTGGAATCCCCAAGGTGGAAGGATAATGGAGTCCCCAAGGGCCAGCTAAGTACCAACTAGGAACAAAACACACGGTGCAAACTTTTGTTAGTGGGCAAGTTGAGGCTCCTTGCTAGCTCTCTATGCCTACAGAGATTAATTATCAATGTAAAATAGCACCTCAAATCTGTTTCATACATGAATAAGGTACTGAAACAAGTTATATACACACACGCGCGCGCGATAGTTGCAGATCTTCTATAAAAGCTGAATTCATCCATATTGAGATTCCAGAAGGCACAAAATGAACAGAAAAAAAAACAAGGGAACGGGAAAAAGATCTGCATGGCAACGATGAACGTCCAACAATGTTTGCTATTCATTTTCTTCACGTTATCAAGCAAAAATATTACAGATGTAATTATGGCAATTTCAGCATCTAAGTTTTAGAGTGAATTCTGTTATATACCTCTACTACAGCTAGAGGGTTTAGGGGGTGTTTGGCAATCTGAAAGTGAATTTAAAATATGTAAGTTATCTTTTTTTTGTAAATGACTTTTACATCCATGTCAGCACGCAAGTGAAGTACAGTGTTTGTTTGAAAAATTAAATTATTATCTAAAGTGCAATGTGAAGATAACGTGGCAAAATAAGATTAATTAGAAAAGTATAATTAAAATCATTTAATTAAATTAGTTACATTTTTGTCACTTTCATGTGACTTCACCATTTTTTTAGGGGAAGTCAAAATTGCATTAAATCATATGTGGCAACTTTCTTGCATCTCACTTTCATAACCACTTACATGAAAACAAACACCTTAATTGTTAAATGAAAGTAACTTTCTCACTTTCATCTTTCACTTGCATGCAAACAAACACCCCCGCACGCGCTTCATTTTATTAGTTTAGCTCAAAGTTCACCAATTTTTACAGTAGCCACACCTAAACCATGAAAACAGGCACATGATTGAGAACCACAAACCAGCATCATATTTCCTTGATTGCGCCGTAAATATTTACATTATGTACAACCCAAGCACTAGATATTCACAAGTGTGTAATCGACGTAACTCTAATGCTAAATGCCAACACCCATCATCAGATTTACAGCAAGTGATGAATCCGAGCTTAATACCTCTACAGTATATCAGAACTCTGTACAGTATCTAATCTTAGTAATTTCCTTATATTGTACTAACTCATAATCTTTAAGAGTAAGACCTGACCGACCGAAAACTCTGAAAAGAACACCCTTTGAAGAAATTCCCAAAGAGGAATCCAGTGCCACTTTGAGGTTTTGATGTAGAGAAAGGATTTTGCTTCACCCTGAGAACTGTCTCCCCAATCTGTTGTCGGATAGATTCAATAGTCTCAGCTCCCACTGGATTTCCCGACATCTCTGATACATAAAAGGAATCAATTGCTTTTCCATTTTTGGTCGAGATTTCTGCTCTTCTAATGCTCAATCCATTCTCACGGAAAATCCTTGTTATGTCTGAGAGAAGCCCAACCCTGTCTTCAGTCCTCAGTTCCAGCTCTAGTCCCTTGATAAATGCAAGCAATAAAGTTAAGAATGTGTATAACGTGTTATGAAAGTATTTTTGATATAAAGAAAAACCAGTTATGAGTTCTACCTCAGAGGCTCTTCGCTCGATAGCTGCTTCAAGGCATTGGATCACACGCTCTCGTTCAGCTTCTGAGCTTACGGGAAGCCCATCTACATGGCGAATGTAATACTCCTGAGTTGAAGTTATAAACGTTAAGACACAAATTACTAACATAAAAAGGATGCATAGATGTCATAGGAGTTGAAAAATATAGACCATGATATGACCATATGAATTTTATAGCTCTAAATTTTTGTTCACACAAAAGCTACTACTGGAATGTGCCCATCGGGAACATAACAACTATGTTGAACAATTTCAGGTTACAGATGCTGGAGTTAATTTATCCAGAATGCATAATGTTAAGCAAACCAGTGGATTGTACACAATTAGAAAGGCTTAAATTGTATCGATAAAGAAAATGCATGATTCACAGTATAATTTTCCTCCAATGTATCAAAAAGGAAACCTTACTGTCTCAAAAGCAGATTATTCTATGACAGATTTCAACAAGATTAGAGAATCAAACAAACAAGTGAACAATATTAGATTATCGATATCTCGCAGCCAACATAAAACCCTACATAATATTAGAGCCAATGAATTATACCAAATGAAGAGGCTTTTAAATTTTTGTTGTACCTGGTAAGCTTCTGCTCTTCCAGCATCAACTGTTCCATGAAACACCACATACTGCATATCTGTGAGCGTACAGATAGTATCAAAAAGAAGCTTAGGCCGATCCTTAGATCTCATAATCACCACCGAATAATCCTTCTCAAAACAATCCATAACAGACACTTGAGGCCGAGACTTCTTATCTCCTAAATTGACACCCTTCTCAAAGTCCCTATCATCAAACATAAGCTGGTGCAAACGTCTCTCAGTGTGCGTGATCCCCATGGAAACCATAGATTTTGCAGTTCTAGAATCACCATCTCCCTTTAAGACGTTGCACAGGAGCTTCTTGATCTTAGAAAGCGTTACTGGATCCTCTATCGCAAGCCCAGTCGACCCGTTAGTGACATGGACCACAGCTGCTGCACGTGTATTGTGGGTCCACACTTCAGCCTTGACAACGTTGCACTTGAGATCGGTAAGCACTGCACAGACTTCTGATAGCAGTCCGGGCCTGTCGGAGCCCGTGAGCTCAATTGCTGTGTAGTCTTTGGAGGGCATAACCCCGACCGAGTTTCTTTGAATGGAGGGGAAGAAGTATGCATCTGTCTCAATGGACTGATGTCAAAAGCAAATCAACTAATAAGAATTAGAAGAGCTGTTGTAATAATGTGAGAGTATATAGAAAGTGAGGCTACAAAGGATTTTACTTTACCATGACTAAGGTATATAAAACTTAGAACCAGGAAAGAAATACATTGATCTAATTTTATCACAAATCTAATTGAAAATTGGAGAATAAATGGACATATATAAACTTATGGACAGTGAGCCTAAAAAGGATTTTGCTTTTGCTTTACTAGTACAATAGGTATATTGAGTTAAAAGCATGGAGTGAATACATTGATCAAAATTTATCAAAATATCATCAGAACTCGAGAAATAAATCAAGAGACTTGAAAATGGAAAAATAATTGTGTTCTCCTGCTGCACAAATCAAAAATCGAACAAAGAACAAAATATATGGCATGCATAATGAAAAATATGGCAAGATTTCTGTCTATGAAGCCCAGTGAACACTGATACAGATATACTGAAGGAACCAATAACAAAAAGATTGGTAAAATTGCTGTTCAATTGGAAACTAAATAATATGTACAAGGACGTGAAATATATAGTGAGGGTGCTAGATTTATTTGTGAAGGAGCAGAATGAGTATCAATAATAAGCTGATCATTGACGCTGAATACGTTAAATTTCAAAGGAGAGGATTACTTACAGTTTTTATATATGACATGATGTCTTTGTCCCAAATTTTATTCCCATCTCGGTCTGTGACATTAAAAACTGAAGAACTAAAAGAATTAGTTACAATTTTCAGCATGAGATAGGTATAAAAGCTTAGATTTTAGTCTATAAACTGACCATCCATGAACCAGCTCCCATCTGAAGATATGTAAGCTTTGATGATGATCAGGTTCAAATCAGTGAGGAATTGAATAACTTCTAAGAGAATCCCATGCTTGTTCACACTGTCCACCTACGAGGAAAAATATTACCAATATTAACATTAGGCAAACTAAATAGTTAATTGAGAACGAAACAGAAGCAAGCAGGATAAAATTTACCCGAATTACCGTCGCATTATCACAATAATCATTGTCAATCACGACCCTGCAGCATAGAAACAAACGGGTATAAATATGATATACATACAGAGCACGCATAGCAAAACTTACTTCACTAAAATTATTTGTTAAAACTCTGCATAAAGTCAGGGAGATTTTAAACCTATCAATAAATTCTCCATAACGGATTCAAGGTTAGGGTATGATGAAACTTCTAGAAAGCCCAAGTAGCTAATTCTATTTCCAACAAGAAACAAAAACCGAAACTATAATAAATGGGAAAAAAAGCCAATAATATGGAGGAAAAAATGCAAGGAGATACTAAATACATGTGTAGAAGAATAAAAATTTAAGTTCACAACAAGCCAAATCCAACAAGTTCCTTCTAAAAAAAGATATATAATAAAAGGAATATGAAATCCATAAAAAAAAATCAACCCAATTAGAAATTTATAAGGAAAACCACCCAATGAATCAATAAAACGGTACCAAGTCATATCCAAAATTTGAGCAAAAAAATAATAGTTTACTCTTTACACACTGAACCAATGTAATCTTCAATAACAACAAAATCAAAAGGAACAAACCCAGAAACACACCATTTAACTACAAACAATTCAAGTAGAAAGATAGAAAATCCATTAAGAGAACTTACAAAATCAAACTAAAAATTACACAAATTTGGAAACATCAAGAAAAAACATAAACTCTCTGATAAGCTACATCTTTCAAATTCCTAAGAACAGAAACTACAAAACGTCCCAAAAGGAGAAATTTTAAATTTAAAAAAAAAAGCCCACTCAGAAACCTATAAACCCAAGCAAAACAAAACAAACAAATACAACCATCAAAATCCCAAAAGTCCAGAACAATAAATAACCCAAAAGGGAAATTTTGTAAAAAACATACAAATAATAAATAAAACTGAAGAAAAAACCAAAGTTTACAATAATCTAGAAACAGCAAAAGGATTTGTTAGGCTACACCTTTCAAATTCCCATTAACAGGAAACTACAGACACCCAAAAAGTGAAAATTTTGCAAAAAAAAAAATTTCAAATTCCATAAGCAACCCATAAACGGAAGTAAAAAAATAAAACAGAAAATATTCGAATAAATCGTAATGAATTTTATTACCTTGGTGGGTTCATCCTCCTTATTAGCTTAGCATACTCATCATCTTCCATCTCCAAAGCCTCAAAATTACCCATGAGAGTCATCATCAAAAGATGTTTTTTTTTTTAATGATAAAAGCGAGCCAAAAGAAAAGAGCGTGCTCTCTATTTATATAAAAAGGAGTAAAAAAAATCAGGGCAGAAATCAGAGGAGTAAATAAAGGATACCTTTTCTTTTTTTGACAGTTAAAACTATTTCCTTCTGCGTGCTCCTAACGTGCGCTGTCGATGACGTGGCATGATACGATTCGGTGCCAAGTGGGCCATGTTCTGCTTTGTCCCACCATGGAATAGAACTGGACAGCTAATGGCTGGATTTTTGGGGGATTTTTTTGATATTTTTACACTCCAAGTTATTTATGTAAACTAACCAAGAATAGTATCTCTAAACTTTTTGGAATAATATAATGCAGTATTTTTAGTATCGAATCTCGGTGATTAGGCATGGGAACAAATCTTGATATTCCTAAGATAATGTTGTTAATTATGTGTGATAATGGAAGATCAACCATTTTTAGGAATTTCTTTTCTGATCTTTTATTTTATTTAATTTTATTGTCCTCCAAACTTGCCTTTTTTGTGAATTTAACATTTGTAAATGTTCATTGACCTTTTGCATCAATCTATGGTAATTGTTTATTTCTATATATTAATTTTTAAAGGAAGATAAAAAAGAATTACATTGTCATAGAGATAATGATACAGATGTTGGATTTTTAAATTTGTTCAGGTTAAATTTTAGACTGTTAATGTAAATTTTCAACTTAACAATCTAAAATTTTTTTAATGTGTTAGAATAAGCAATATCCTATTGATTAGTAAGTACCTATGCTTTGCATTTGACTTCGCATGTTCTACCCACTAGAACTATTTGTTTTATTTTCCCTTTGCATGATTGCATCTAATGCTCCACACTCTAATTTGACGGATGTGATATATCATAAGTACAGTAATAAAATTAAATTTTATAGTCAGGCTTAAAGAAGTCATTCATAAGCTATTGCTCTTACACACAATCTCATGTGCAATGTAAGTAGAAATATATTTTCTATTAGAATAACACTCGTATGTGTGAATTTTTTTTAAGTCCACGCATTGATAGAACTAAGTAAAATGGATAGTTGAGAATTACACAATCCTCCTGAATGGAAGAAAATATTCTGCACGCACACATGCTACTGTGATAGGATTTAGATATCATAAAGCTCCCCTTGACTTTGGACAATTATCAGTAAATCAATCTTAACTTATAAAATATTATAATGCCCCCGTCCCTCACCACCACCACCCAAGTATAGGGGTTATTAGAAAACTCCCGTTAACTTTGAGATATTATTAGAAAACTCTCTTAAATTTAAAAAGTTTTTTTTTAATAAAATGTCAAAATTAAATAGAATTTTCTGATAAAATTTAAAATAGGATTTTCTCATAATCACTATACTTAAGTGGGGGGGCTTGCATAGAAGGCCCGATTAGCTACATACAAGGGAGTGAGAGTATCAAACAACATGAGTTGTTATATTTTTAACCTACTGTTATCAAAGTCCGGAAAGAAAGTGGCGGTAAGTTGGGGTAACGTGAGACAGCCGGTAAACCTCACGTGTGGAGCGGGGTGTAGTCCGGACAGCTTCCGGTTATCTTGGAGAGTAGCAGTTGCGTTACCGACCGGCTCTGCCAGTCTGATGCTGACCTTAGGAGTTGAGGACCCGCACTCTTGCAGTCTCGCGTCTCGCGTCGTGTTTCCCTAGATATTAAAATAAATAAATAAACAAATATTTTACATAAATAAAAGCGTTAACAGTGCTCAGTTAGAGCATCTCCAACAGCTTCCCCATTTTTTATTTTTGGAGAATTTAGTTAGGTTTTTGACCCAAAAGATTCCCCATCTCATTCTCTAAAATAGGGATGGAGGAGAAAAAATGGGGAAGCTTCCCCAAATCTGCAGCATTCTCCAAATTTTTGGAGGAAAAAAGAAATTCTTCAAAATGAGGAAGCTGTTGGAGTTGGTATAAAAATTAGTTGGGGAATATGACTTTTGCTTCCCCATTTTGAAGAAAATTTTGGAGAAGCTGTTGGAGATGCTCTTAGAACTTTTTTTATACAGAAATTTGAAGTTTACATGGAAAAAAAGGTGTTCCTTGTTAGGAATTTTTTCAAAATAAAAATGCTTAATAAACATATTATACCGTTTTTTGATAAAATTATTTTGTGTCGCACAAGCAAATTAGTATCACATAAATTATATGTTATCTTGTTGGTTTCTATAGAAGAAAACATGGGGAGAAATAGATGTAGGCAAATAAAATTGTATTTATCCCTAACAGAGAAATTCATAAGTTTGTTTGCAAGAACATTACCAAAAATAGTAAAAACAGACAAAAACGCTGATATCTCTCAAACCGGAAGAAATTTGGTGAAACGGACTGTATAAACCGAACATTAGCGGATTGGTCGGCCCCGTCTCATTAAGATGGTCGATTTTCATATATAATTCGTCTAATTCCGACTTACGGTTTGAAAGTTATGACCCGTTCTTTGTAGCAAGTTATATTCCTCGATACCTGAACTTCGCCCGTAAGACTAAGGTTCGTCTGAACCAAGCCAAGTCTGCTTGTTCGCCTGCATCAAATAGGCTAAGTCAAGCTCACCTGAATGCTTGACTTCGCAGGCGAAAGGAAGTTCGGCTAAACATTGGGCTTCGCCTAGAAAGAACTAAGCTCGCCTAAATGCTTAGTTCGCGAGCTCGCAAGTTAGCTAAGCTCGCCTGAATGCTTCGCTCGCCCACATGAGTCAAGCTCACCTGCAAGAGGTTCGCTCGCACAATCCAAGCTCGCTTGAACGCTTAAGGGGTTCGTCTGTTCGCCTAGCTCACCTGCAAGCTCGCCAGGCTCGCCTGAGCGGTTAAAAACCACTTACTTGAATTGCGGGTGCGGTTACGCCCACTTCCCACGTTCTAAGGGGGTAGTTATGATCTTTCTTAGATATAAATAGCCATATTCGACTATAGAAAAGGGGGGCATTGATGCAGGCATCAGAGAGAGAGCATTAATCTCCTTTGTGCACTCGGCTTCCACATTCTTGTTCGGGTATTCAAACTTCGATAAAGCTTCTACCACGCGATGAAGCTTATTGATAGTCTTGTTCGAATCCTCAGGAGAAGAGGATCGAACTTTGAGATCTCGGCATACTCGGCCTACAAGCAATCAAGCACTTGTTCGGCCTTAGAACTCATCCAACCAAACTTCTATCACGCGCTAAAATTTATCCGGAACCTCGTTCAAATCGTCAAAGGGAAGAAAACTCGACACGAGCATCGAGGGAAGCATCCTATCGCTCCAAATTAAAGAACCCACGTTAAACAATGAGAGATTAGATTCATTCTCTTCGTTTCTATGTGAAATTGATTTCGATTTGTAATAAACAATTCAATCAATATAAATCTTTGAGATCCATTTTACATCATATAATAGAGAAAAGCAAACGATTCTAAGATTTGAAAGAATTATGAATTTTTTGTTATTCTTGAATTGAATTTTTGAAACTAAACAATCCTTTTAATATCTAGTTAAGTCATATATTTTACTTGACTCTAGCGTAGAAATTTGGAAAAAAGCTACGCATTTCTTGTTATTGTTTTTATTAACTTTTTAAAATATTCACTCGCAGAAAATCCTTTTAAAATTCGCCTTAATTCAAAAAGCAACCAATCTGGAGCATAAAAGGTAAGGAAAAGTAATTAATATTTTAGACATGTTCATTTTAGGGTGTGTTTGGATTTCAATGGGGTTAAGGGAAACTAGGTGAGAGAATGGAAGGGAAGGGAAGGGAGTTCCCTTCCCCTTGGTTACACCCAAATTTGGGGGGGTAACAAATTTTATACTATTAGAGGGTGAACCAAGGGGAACTAGGGTGAATAACTTCACATCCTAAATGTTCCCAAACAAGGTGAATGGTTCCCCTAACTTCTGTTCACCCTTATTCCCCTCAATCCAAACAAGCCCTTAAGGAACTGTTAAATTAAGTGACAAGTAATTTGGATGTGTTGGGCGCAGAATCACGCCCACCGCCGCGGAAGCGATACCACCTGAGAGAAAGCACTGGCTTTTGTTATCACAAAAGCACAAGTCAACCTCTATATTCTTGTTTCTCAAAGGAAACTAGAATAGATAGTGAAATTCTTATTTCTCAAAGGAAACAAGAATCAAAAGTGATATATTTCATCAAGATAGTGAAATTCTTATTTCTCAAAGGAAACAAGAATCAAAAGTGATATATTTCATCAAAGTAAAATATGCACTCTTCCTCTCATCAGTTCTAGGACTGAAAATATCGAGGCAACCTACAAACAATAGCCAATACCCAGAAAATAATAAAGACACGAGATTTACGTGGTTCGGCAAACTTGCCTACGTCCACGGGAGGGGTGAGGAGAGATTCCACTATGAGAAGAACAACAACAATTTGTACAATCCACAAGCTCGTCTCAAAGAAAAAAAGATCTAATTTTTACCCAAAAGAAATTAACCTCTCTTTTGTAAATTCCTCTTTTTCTCTCCTCAAAATCTCACTATTTTTCTCTCAAAAACAGCCG